AGTAAGATGGCGGAGCCCAGAGGTCGTACTTGCAGACGTCTTTTTTTGTACGCTTCCGGGTTGCCATAATGTTTTGTAGCCCGTGGTATACGGAGGCACTGTGCACGGAGGCCAAGTGTGTGTCCAAAAGAAGCGCGTTGGAAGCGCTGAGCCCACCCAGGTATCGCATGGTAGCTATATGCAGCCAGGCTTGGGACCATGGCAAAGCTCGGGACAGGAAGGAGATGAGGAAACTGAAAGGGCCGTGATTCATGTCTCGTAAAGAGGAGCCTCTCTCAATAACGAATTGTACTCGACACGGAGGCGGGTGCACGCGTGCATTTGGAGAAAATAGGGACCTTTAGCAAACCGTTGCCGTGCTCCGCGTACCGCACTACCGGAGCCTTTGAAGCATGCTTTTAAGCGCGCGCCCTGCGCTCACGGTGCCACCCGGGCGCGCGCTTAAAAGCATGCTTCATAGGCTGCGGTACGCGGAGCACGGCAACGGTTTGCTGAAGGTCCCTAATATATTTTCACAATTTCCCGTCGCCGGCAGAAAGTATCCTATGCGGAGCGCAAGTTCGTCTGCTTCTTTTGCAGGGGTTGTGGTGACGTCAGAACGTAGAGCTCTGATTGGCTATGACCGAAGGACAGTGGGCAGACCTCAATTCAAGCATGCCTTGAGGTCTACTCACTGTCCTTCAATCAGAACCAATCAGAGCTCTGCGTTGTGACATCACCACAATCTCTGCAAAAGAAGAAGACGAACTTGCGCTCCTTATAGGAATTAGGAGTATCTTTCTGCAGTGCTTACATTTAGAGGCAACATGAGCTCAGCGACACGGCACTATGAGCTGGTTATAGCTTCGAAAAGGGCTTGTGATGAATGCCCGTTCCGAAATTCAATGCTATCTATAGAACTTAGAACATATGTCTTTATTGATAGAACAACCATGTTTCAAAATACTATTGCGAGCCGGAATAAGCCTCAAGGGCTTGTGTACCTGGCTCGGCAGGTGACGAAATCCTGTAGATTTGATAATGAAGAAGATTAATTGAAAGCAATTTACAATCTATAGCACACCCGTTCTCTGAAACCTCAGTGTGCATTTACCCAAACCGAAAAGATACACACACCAAACACATACCTTAGACACACTGAAACCGCCATGTTAAAAAAAAATAAATAGCAACTTAATGTTACTCTTTTGGTAAGGGTGACATAAAGTTGTCCACTTATCCTCTTTTCCAGCGCCATAAAGTCACTGCGAAGGCAAGGAGCGCAGGACCTTTTTTTCGGATGCCCAGCCACCAGCACAGTTGTCTTCTGTCGTGCTTCGACTGATCGTGCACGCTCGCAGTTCACGAGACGCCGAGGTCTTATTGAAGACAGCAAGTTCGCGCTGGAGTCAACACAACTGCAAGACGTCCCTGCGGCTCTTATACGGAGAGCAAGTCGGCTGCTTCTTGCACAGGAGTTGCGGTGACGTCAGAATGACGCTGAACCCTGATTGGCTTTGATTAAAAGTGTAATGGGTAGTCCTCAATGCAGTGTAGTTCTTGAGGTCTATACTATTATTTTTTTAATCAGCCAATGAGAGTTCGGCCTTCTGACAACATTGAACCCCTGTACAAGAAGCAGACGAACTTGCGGTCCGCATTGCAGTATCTGGATCCTGGGAAAGTAGCGACATTTGCTTCCCTGCCTACTAGCAGGACACAAACAGATACCAATATACAGAAGGTTAAAGCCAAAACCTCGCGCAGCGATTGGCTTGTTGGTCTCGCATTGCAATGGCCAATCGCCGTTTTGATCCTTTCGAATCTTCGAAGCTTCGAAAAACTTGCTCTAAACCAGGCGCGCCATATCGTTATGGCGTTTCATCGTACTGAAAGTTTTCCTCGCAGATGTAAAGGTTTTTGGCACTGTGCATGCGTTCAACTTATCAAACATGCTTATCTTCACGAATCTCTCGCATCGATGTTGTTCTCACATAATATTTCGAGGCAGGAAAGTTATTTTCCGATGTCGCACCAAGCACCGATGCTGCATTTAATGGTGGTGCAAAGAGGCGCACTATTTGTTTCTCGGGTCTGGGGACATCGAAATATTAGTATACAAGGAAGTGTCGTTATTATGCGACGTGTCACTGCGAATTTGGACATGCTCACCGAGAAGAGAGGTGTCAAAGAGAAACTGCTCAATTCCACGGACCGAAATGGCGGCCAAAAGGAGAGCTGGCGCTTTTTTCCCAGGATCCAGCGACGTTAGCTCTTAGCACTCAGCGACTTGTGTCGTGTCAGGTTAAAAATGCAGTGGAAGCTCCCCTCCCAGCACGTGCTCCTTTCCTTCCTTCGTACTTTAGCTGACGAGACGAAGAAGTGTTATCAAAGTCTGGAAGAGCAAGCACTATACATTGTTTTACTGCATTGATAGCATGTCACCGACTATGGTCACTACCTGTGGCCACTACCTGGATAAGAACGGCGGTGAGGACCTTCAGTTGTTCCGTCAGCTTCTCCTTCATAAATACTTCGTTGCCTCATACCTTCAGGCATGCGTGCGCAGTCAAAACATCCATCACAAAAGGCGGGTCACTAACTCATTTTCACATAAAAAAGAGGAAATTCCGCGCATTATTTACGAAGTGCGAAGTAGTTCTTACAATAAGCTTTTGTTGTCGGAAGAAGAAACAATGCTTATGGCGTTCAAAACGTGTACATCTCGGTAAAATAACGATAAGCTAAGCCAAAATTCACTTTCATATATATCTTGATTCACGACACCGAGGAGTAAATCAGTAATGCTCCGCGATTATTGGGTTACTTTTTACTACGGTTGTTGAGGTAAATGCGAGTATAGATGCGCTTTTTCTTTGTCTTACGCAGGTAGAAACAAGCCTGTCCCGTGCGTCCCTTGGCAGCAAATGGCGGCGCAGTACTCGCTCGTGGAAAGTGTCTCGCGCGTTCGCACCCCGCCAACGGCTGTAAAAAAACGCGAGCACGAATTTTATTAATAGGCTTTATAAGGGCATTCAAAGAAGATACCACGCGCTTCTTGTTTTGTGAATGACCACACCAGTTTATGCCGCGGTTACACTGGTAATGCGTCACACAAAATGCGTTCTGCAGACAGTGTATGGGGCGTGTTTCTTTTTTGCATGGCGATTCTGCGACATTGTTCATACATGAACTCTCTGCAGACATGTTTGAACATGTTTCAGGCTTGTCCGCGGAAAATTTTGTCACAAATATCCGCGGAGAGCGGCGTCTCTTATATTATGTAAGAGCAGTGAGACTGTGGCTTTAAGGCCTGTTCACACGTATACAGCACTGAGCGCCGAAACGGAGGTAAGTCACGTGCAAGTCATGGGGGGGGGGGGGGGGGGGGGGGGAGCCGCATCAGCGCCGTTTTCATGAGCCGATTCGGCTCATGAAAACGCTGCGCTGTATGTGCGAATCGTCCTTTACTGTTGACATATTAATGGCGTTAATGAAAATGCTGCGATATTTCGTCGGCCGTTGTCACTTTCCTGCGCCAGCGGCAGATAATGGACTGCTTTCTTTGTTTCTCGATTCGCTTCTGTTTCGATGATGAAGTTTTCGCGTTTGTATACAGTATGTAACGTCTTTTATAATACCGTCTAAAAGCATTGCACAAACAGGCTACTTTTCCAACGTCTAATTGTATCACGCGTGCAAGATTAGCAAAAGTAATAGGCTATTTTCCCAACGCCCAATTGTATCAGGCGTCCAAGATTAGCAAAAATACAGATATTAGCAAAAATACAGTGGGCGTGAGGGCGAGCTGGTGGGTGTCGGTCATGTTGAAGATTCCCGAGATTGTGGTAAAAGATGGGAAACTTAGTCGAAGAAAACCGACCCAGGAAAGGAACGTCTCACCTTGAGACGCTTCTTTCTTGTGGCCTTTTTCTTCGTCCAAGTTTCCCATCTTTTTACCACAGCTTCTGGTAATTTTCAACGTGATCAACACATAAGATGGTACAGCTGCACAACATAGTTAGCGAACTTGACAGTTACGGGTTTTCGCACTTTGCAGAGGGTATACTGACGAGCGCCATATTGTACTCCCTAAATGGATGCTCCAGGATGAGCAGACTCGGATAACTTTGTAATTTTAATGTCAGCTTTCTTGTTCTCAAAGAAGAATAGGAGACGCGGTGGTTTATTTGTTTTTACTAACTGTGTCGCTATCTGTACTTAAATCATAAGGCCAAACTTTTTTGGCATTGAATCTGTAAACTAGACGTCGAGAGTGAGTTTCTGTGGCCCGAAGAGTTTAATTACATAGCTGAATCAGGTCGCTGGTGGTCTACGTGGTACCCTCCATATATTACGCATAACTGCTGTGAGTAATTAGCTGCAGAAATATATGGTGCGATTTGCAGAGCAGCAAAGGGCCTATCGTTGTTAAATATGTTGAGTAGCTGAATAGAAAATGCATATTAGCCCTGCAGCTCAAGATGCCCGAAAACCAATACCACCAGTGTTAGGATAATACAAAAGTTCAGCGAAAGGTAGTTAGTGTTCTTCGGTTTTGCTAAATCTTTAAAATTAAGAACGCTGCTCGATTGTTTTGTATTTATTTCCTAATATTACGTTTTATAGTTGTAATCTGAATATTTAAAGCACAAATACAAGTGACCCGGGAGTAAAGAGTCGGGAATAATAAGTTCGTTTAATAAAATCTTGAAACAACTCTTCCGTATATTCAATCGCTTAAACATAGATAAAAATATATATATATTTTAACATCCAGCCATTAACAAATTGGCTGTGTGAAATTATAAAAAAAAGAAAGAAACAGCGGCGGCGCTTGCTAGTGATTGATCAACGTAAACATGGCTATCGTCCCTTTTTAAGTGTCTTAAACTGAAGATGATGAGTTCATCGTCGTCAGCAAACATGCACACACCTCTGAAGAGCTCTTCGTGGAGTCTTATATGCCATGCGTCCCTTCTGCCGCTGCACGTAGCAGAGAGACGTCGGCAGTGCCGCTACTACACAAGCCACGGCTGGCAGAACTCCATGAGTTGAGAATCGTCCGTCCCGCAATAACAGTCCAGCTGGTTCGCAGACGCCTGCGTAGACATGGTCGGCTGTTCATCGGGCGGTGAAAGCAAGCTGTCTGCGTCACATGCCAGGTAGAAACTCTCTGTCTCCTTGAGAAGTTGCTGACGATCTTCAGCGCTGTTAAAGGCTGACGAGTCGTCCTCGTCGTGGTCGACCATCCTCTCTGAACGCTGACGTTGACTTCCATGATCGAGGAGGTCTTGAAGAGACTTGATGTAGTCGACGGCGGATCGCAGCGTGTCTACTTTGCTCATCTTCTTGTTCTGTGTGAAGTTGGGAACGTGTTGCCTCAGAGCAGCAAAGCCCATGTTGACCAGCCTCACTCTGTTGCGTTCGCGCTCGTTGCGACGAGCCACAGCTTGAGTGTAGCCCGATGCGATGATGTGAGGTTGCTGGTAACGCTGTCGCCGTGGGAACCTCAGCGGATCACTTCCCTTGACGTGTTGTCCTGCCGGAGTCCTCAGCATCCGGTAGGAATTCATTCTGGTCACTGAGCTCTGTCTTTTTAAACAATTTTCCAACAGTCCAGTGGCAGGAATCTTAAGAGTCAATTAGAGTTAAAAAGCTTTTGTTAGTACTACTCGAGCCGTGCTATGAATGGCTTTTTTGTTTGTTTGTTAGATAGCAGTTACAAGTTAGCAGGTGAATAATCTATGAAGCATGATCTTGCAAACTTACTTTACTTCGCGGTGCAGCCAATGAAGAACCACTGTAGGCGTAGGGTCCTTGTGATGATAAAAGAGGACAGACGTCTTTGTGACGCAAAATCCGGGTTGCTAATGGGGTTCTGCCACATTCATTTTCCTGGCACAAACTCTTACTCACTTAAAAACAGCCTTAGTTGTCTAAGGATATTTTCACAGGCTGAAAACGTTGTATGGTCACTGTCTCACGCACTGGATGTTCTCACATGACGGCACCGAAGGTAATTTTACTTAAAGATTAAGGGAGGCTACTGTGACAATATAAATTACTTCTGACGGCTCGGATTCTCAGCAGTTTTTCATTCGCCGTAGTTACCTGTAATGCTACCCCAAACAACCTGAAGCGTCACGTGTGCACATTTGTTTAGTCGTTCACAAACGAAAGTTCCACCGAGAATGTGATGATGTCCAGTCACCGGAAAAGCAAGAGATTGTTGGCTTTTTCAGTTGTGTTTTACTTATAAATTTCTTTTCTTCGTATTCCTCGAAAGTAATAACCTTTTCAGCGCTTCTGAAGTCTCGGGACTCTTTAGGTTTCCGAGCTCAAGCAGATGCTTGACTCATCTCCAGTCTGCAACAAAACTCATCACTGGCACTGCGTATATCTTCACGACAATTTGAAACTTGAAGCGCAATAATCTTCCAGCTCTTCAGACTTTACGAAATTCTTCGCCGGCGATCCGCTTAAAGCTGCTTTCATCAACGTAACTCTTCAGCAAATATCACCATGCAGGGCTCCACGGTTCTCTTCAGTAAAATCTAGCGCATTTTCAGCCTTCTTGATAACACAAGGAGCACCAAGGCCTCCGTCTGCACACATGCGTGATGTGCGTCCGCGCACCTTTATGCTTGAGACCCCGCACAGCTCGTCAGAACTTTTCTGCGAGCGAATGCACCATAGTTAGTTTCTGTATCTGCGCACCCGACGTCGTAAAGAATTCTTCTGCACTCTTCAAGTACACCTCATCACTGGCTGAATCTTGACACTCTACGCAGCTCATCAGCATTCTTCAGCAAGCAGCTACAGCCTGGTCATCTTCTGTCAAGTTTGGTAGTCCTGAGCACCAGCCGTCTTAGCCGGTCCTTCCGCACTTTTCCAAGTACAGCTCGTCACTTGTGGAACTTTGAGACTCCAGGACGCTTGTCAGCACTCATTAGCAAGCGGCTGAATCATGGTCCTCTTCCGTCAGGCCGGGTTGTCTTGAACACCAGATCTCTTAAATGGTCCTTCTGCACTCTTCAAATACACCACATCACTTGTCGAAGCTTGAGAGTCCACTCAGCTCGTCAGCAATTTGCAGCAATCGTCTGCACCATGCTTCTCTTCCGCAAAGCCCGGCTGACCTGAGCACCAGATGTCTTGAACGATCCTTCCGCACTCTTCAAGCACACCTCATCACTCGTCGATTCTCGCAAGTCTGCAACGTGATGCGTGCTTTAGCGCACGGTAGTCTCCGCCCCGCTTCGGCTAGTGGAAAGGTAAGGCACGTCTTGACGTTAGCAGCTGCCCATGGCCAAGTGACGGGAGTCGTCGTGGTGAGGCCGTTCTCGGGGGGGCCTTTTGCACTCCCCTCCCTGCCTCTGGGTGGCCAATGGAAGCCGATCACGGAGACGATTGAACAGGAGGTGGGCACTGCGGGGAAGCCCCCTCCCCTCCCTCCCCCCACTTCATTCTTCAAGTTGCGTGCGCGATTGTTTTTCATCGGGACGCGTGACTCTCGTGTGTTCGCGTCTCTGGGGAAGGAGAACGGTGGGAGAAAAAGAGGGGTAGGAAACACACTACAAGGAGAAAAAGAGGGGTATAGCTACGTGGGGATGGAAACATGGAGAGAGGGGGGGGGGGGGGGGGAGCTGCTACTTTCTTTCTCCTAATGGTCTTCGAAGGATAGTTGGTTTTCATAAGCGGCGTAGTAAAAGTAGGTTTCTTTGCTAGTTCTTCTTTCCGACCAGCTGGTTTTCTTGGAGCGAGGCCCATGAAAGGAATCGAAGCCAAAAAAGTAACGCGCTAAAAGGAAAAAATGGGCATCAGGATTCGGGTGCTTCAATGTTCCCACTCCTTTACGTGTTTGCAGAGGGTAATAAAATACTTACTGCCACAGTGGGCTCGTGCGCGATTTAAATAAAGTAATGAAGAGACGGGTTTCAGTCAAAGTGAGTGTCAGAAGCTCCAGGTATACGAACCTTTGATTTATATATAACATATATAACAGCGACGTTTAATAGCGGTTACGTGACAACAGCCTACAATATGGGACAATTTTCTCGTGGGTACCTGTACGCTCACGCACCTTGAAGGCCGATTCAAACGATCTACGCTCCACCATATCTTCGGCATCGCGACAAAAGTCCGTTGTTGATTTGAACCCTAGCTTTCGCGCCCAAAAATCTTCGAAATGCGAAGAGCGAGCTGACTAATTTGCTGTTCCGTCTGTCCAAGAACGGGACTGCAATCTCCGCCCCTGCCCATTTAAACATGAATGAGCATCGTCCAGGTGTGCGGTAGTGTGGCACTATACTTGCGCGATGCACGTTAAAAAAGTCCCAGGTCAGCTGTGGTACAGCGCTGCCTAAATTTCTCATCCACAGCGTAGTCGCAGACGTTCAGATGGGGCTGACAAACTTCCCGCCGTGTAAACACACACACAACATAATTTTTTTTTGTCACTTTATTTTTTGTCTTGCACTTGGGGTAAAGCGGAATATAATTTGCGTTTCCGTGGTGTCAAAGAGCTGCAGATGCGGCAGCGGAACTCTTCAACATCACTCGAATGTTCCGAAAATTGGCTCAGTTTCTTGCTCGAGCTCTCTTCCACACCGCGCATGATCTGCACGCAGCACGCATAGAGAGAGAGCTACGTCGAAGTGCTCTTGACGAGGAAGAAAGACGCCCCCATGTCCCGCGGCAAGGGGCTGCCTGCGTACATCCCTCGGAGTCTATGTATGAAGCCGATTGGTCACGGCACGGCGTCCGCGGCTCGGTGTGACCGAACTCTTCGAGAGGCATGGCATCTTGGGTCACGACACCCGCCGTTTCAGCACACGTATCGGAAAGAAATCGCTCTGTCTCGGTTTTACCCGGACCTCGCGTTTCCTCGCCCGTTTACTTTTTTTTTCTTTCGATGTTGTTGCCGCCATCTTCGTTCGACTGGCTTTGGGCCTATTCGTGGCCGATCACTCATTTGCGCGTCTCTCGGCGCTCGAACGGGGCGCGCGCGCTTCGCAAGTCAGCGTAGTGTAAAACGCACGAACGTGAGAGCGTGACTTTATCAAGCGCTCTCTGTACGTGGATGCTTCCACAGGTAAAGATTTGACCAGAGCTGTGGATTTCTAGCGCCTAAACCTTAAATATCGCTTCATAAAGCTCATGAGATGGAGTATTCTAGGTAGAGTGCCTTAGCGTTGATTGCTGGTTGCGTCTTGCTATGGTAACGACATCTCTTGGAAGTGTAAGTGCCGTCTTTTTCTGACCGTGGCCACGTGTACTTTGCCTCCTGCCTCCTGACAGACGCAAAAAAGGCAAACGCAGGCCTGTCAGAAAGCGTGACGTTGTGTGTTGTTAAACTTGTTCCACGTCATTTTACAAGTGGTGATGCTCAGTAACTGCGAAAACAGCTTATAAACAGCTGCGTAGATTGGAAAGCAAAATGGCGGGTCCGCTAGCAGACGACAGACTTCTCCCCACACTCTCGGAGGGCAGCCAAGCATGTAACATTGTCACTCTCTAACAGCCTAGCCATATTATCGCTCTTAGCTGCCATTAAGCCAACAACAGTTCATTCAATCGCGATCGGCCGGAGTTACAGAACGGCGCCAACTGTCATTGAGTTCAACTGAGCTGGCCTACTTCTGTTAACTTATATCACATGGCGCCGCCCGCCGCATTGCCGCCGATGGCCAGCGCCAGAGAAGCGCTTACTATTGCGGAAGATTGGGGGAGGTCTCTAGAAAGTATCGTAGCAGCAAATATTGTCGGAAGAGGTATGATTCGGGGCCCGAGCTGCCGCTAAAACGATCACTGCACTACACTCCCGGACGTCCCAGGTGTTTGTATTGCATCAGACGATTTACTGAAAACACCCAGTCACTTCAGAAATTATCAGAAGGCCAATCATTTCTTTAATCTGCTAACCAATGAAAAGAGCGATCTGTATCATGCTCCATGAGTTGTGCCATCTTTTGAATGACCAAGGAATTGAAAACACCCTTTAGCCGCTGAAACTACATGATCAACTGAGTAATAACACAGATTGCACTTCTTATTGACTAAATCGGTTTACAGAAACACGGATGATAGGTGTCTTGAGTGCAGCGCACTACAGGATACATGAAAAAAAAAAAGAGAAGCTTTTGGGAGGGTTTCATATAACCAGACCACACGGTGAAACTAATAACATTTCTATCGAATGACATTGTAAACGGCCAATGAGCACGTGCCACTGCTGGCGCAGCGCAGAGCACGTGCGACGCTGCAGATCGCGATCTCAATCGCCGACCAGGAAATAGACCGATCTGACCAGCCAGTTTAACTAGGCCACCGCTGTCGCAGTGCATCAATGGAACTTTAGTCTTTCATTCGTGCGACAACCTCCCTGGAGCTCTGCGCGTGTTAAGCACAAGACGTCACGAGCCCTCTCGTGCAATGCCGTCTCCCTCCTGTGAACTAAAGCTATGGCGGCGTCACACATGCGTCGAACGCTTGATGAGATCGGTCTATTAGTGAATGTAATTAGGTGAAAACGGCATTACCTTTGCCGTGTGGCGGAAGTATTAGACTCATT